AATGTCCTCAAAGAATTCCACCAAATTTCCTTTATTTCCTTAGACATCCATGGCTGGCTCTCTCTTTTCCTACAGTTCTTCCTTATCACTAGAATATTCGAAGCCACGTCCCCAGTCTGTTGGCTTGTGGTTCTGAACTATGACTCCAGTTTTAATACCATACAGCCCCAACTCCCCTAAATTCTCCTGATATGTTCCAGTTTAAAGTGCACTCCCAGTTCACAAGTTCTACTCAGAAGAGAGATGTCAAAGAGCCTGAGATAAAGTTATCTGGAAGGGTCACAGTCTGAGGATTTGGGTAGACGATTTAGGACGGAGATGAGGAGACATTTCTTCACCCAAAGAGTGGTGAGCCTGTGGGATTCATTACCACAGGAAGTAGTTGATTCCAAAACATTGAATGTAATCAAGAGGCGGCTAGATATAGCACTTGGGGTGAATGGGATCAAAGTTTATGGAGAGAAAGCAGGATTAGGCCGTTGAGTTGGACGATAGTGATGAATGGCGGATCAGGCTTGAAGGGCCGAATGGCCTCATCCTGCTCCTATCTTCTATGTTTCTAAGTGATCTCAGTTACTTTATTATTAAGAGTATTAATGAAGGGTATGTTTTTGTAAATTGCTTTCTGTGTTTGGGAAGGAATAACTCAGTTCTGTAAATCATTACAAACTGCTGTGGAGTCTCTTGCTATTGTCTCACTGCTATTTTTTAATAAACTTGTTGTGTAATTTATGGCTTAAGCTTTCGCAGGGATGATTCTTTGTTCGGCTGCTGTAGGAATGCAGGAAAATCATGAAGGAATTTGTAATCTATCCTGTAAACCTGATCCAATATCGAGTGTTTCTACTCAAAAGGAGACTGTTATATGTGGGGAGACTGGAGAAGCTGCAATTGTTCCCCTTAAAGTAGAAAAGGTTAATGGAGGATTCAATAGAAATAGCTGTAGACTCTCACAGCACGGGAACAGACTCTTCGGTCCAACTCTGTGCCAACCAGACGTCTCAATCTGATCTGGTCCCATTTGGCAACATTTGGCCCGTATCCCTCTAAACCCTTCTATTCACGTACCCATTCAAGTGCCTTTTAAATGATGTAATTGTACCAGTTCCACCAATTCCTCTGGCAGCTCATTTCATACATGCACCACCCTCTGCGTGAAAAAGTTACCCCTCACCTTTAACCTATGTCCTCTAGTTTTTGTCTTTCTCACTCTGGGGAAAAGACCTTGGCTATTCACCCAATTGTTGACCCCTCATGATTTTATAAACCTCTATATAGTCACCACTCAGCCTCTGATGCTCCAGGGAAAAAAGTTACATCCTATTCGGTCTCTCCTGATAACTTAAACCGTCCAGTCCCAGCAACATCCTTGTAAATCTTTTCTGCATCCTCTCAAGTTTAATAATATCCTTCCTATGGAAGGACAACCAGAGTTGTGTGCAGTATTTCAAAAGTAGCCCCACCAATGTCCTTTACAGCTGCAACATGATGTCCCAACTCCTGTACTCAGTGTAATGATCAATGGAAGCAAGCATGCCAAATACTTTCTTCACCAATCACAACTCTTTGTTTGTAAAATGTTCAAACCTAGAATTGTAGAATCATAGAATATACAGTTCATAAGTAGGTCATTCGACCCATTGTATCTGTACTGGCTGAAGAATGAGTTACCCAACTACTCCCATTCTCCAGCCCTATCTCTGTGGTCCTTGAAATTCATCACTTTAACATATATATCCAGCTCTCTTTTGAACCTTCCTATGGAATCGGCTTCCACCGCTCTCCCAGGCAGTGCATGACAAATCCTAACTACTATCTGAGTAAAGAAGTTTCTCCTCATCTCACTCCCAGCTCTCTTGCTGACAGTCTTGAAACTGTGACCCCTAGTTACTGACAAACCAACAAGTGGAAACAGAATATCCTTCTTTACCCTGTCAAAATTGTTCATAATTTTGAACACTTCAATCAGGTCACCTCTTAACGTTCTCAGTGTGTTTATGCATTTTTAAATTGCTTGGGCAGCCAGTAGTTGCCTGATGCTTTCTCCATGGCAATGCCTCAGCCAATCAGAGTTAATTTGCCAGTTTCCTCTTTCCTCCTGTCATATAAATTGTTGTGGATTGTTTGAAATTTGGCATTCTTGCATTTGTCCTAATGAGTGCAAGACTAAAAGCTTCAGTGATGTGTCTGTTTGCGGTGATGCTCGGTTAGCAGAAATTCAGGATCAATGTGATCCACTTGATCCCAGATCTAGTAATGTCCTTGGACATTATCTGCAAAATGTACGTCCCTAAAATTTCACGAGGCAAGCATTTATGATTGAAGAGACAAGGATATCTGGTGGGAAGGATGAGGGAGAGTGGCTGAGGTGGGAACAAGTGATGGGGCACTATTTTGATTTTTACCCAACCCCACACTTTCGGCACTTACTAACTTTTCCAAAGACACTTGGGGAGGCAGTGGCCCAGTGGTATTTTTGCTGTACTGTTAATCCAGAGACCCTGATAACATTCTGGGGACCTGGGTTCGAATCTCGCCACAGCAGATGGTGGAATTTGAATTCAATAAATATCTGGGGTTAACAGTTTAATGATGACTGTGAATCCATTGCCGATTGTCAGGAAAAACCCATCTGGTTCACTAACGTCCTGTTGGGAAGGAAGCTGCCTTCCTTACCTGGTCTGGCCTACATGTGACTCCAGATCCACAGCAATGTGGTTGACTCTTAACTGCCCTCTGGGCAAATAGGGATGGGCAATAAATGCTGCCTGGCCAGCGATGCCCTCATCCTGTGAATGAATAAAAATATATTGTGCAGAAGGTGAAAGATAGTACAAACTGTTCTGAGTTGGTGTGGCTTGTTTTCTTTGACTCAGAATTTGCCGCAGTAATGATGATGAAATTGACAATGTTCATCAACAACGTAAGTTGTCTGCAACTGAAAGTTCCTCGGGGTGTCAGCAGAGGGGGTGGGGTAATGCGGGAATTCACACGTTTCTACCAGTGACATGATACTTTTGCTAAGTGAGCACTATTGAGGCATCCCCAGTGTGCGGTCCTTACAATGAAAACATTCATTTTTACATAGTTAGTCTCACTGTAAAAACCTTTTGAAAATGTTATATAATGATAAATTATAAATTAACATTAAAATTACCCCCTTGGCCATGTAACACTAACTTGATTTTTGTGAAGCGTCAAATTTCTCTGGTATGATTTAAAAATTTCACATTTTTCAGCATAACACTTTTTTAAAGAGACTTTTTTAATGTTGTTTTAGCTTCTATCTCAATTCAATTAGACTGACACAGTGGCTCTGTGGTTAGCACTGCTGCCTCACAGCACTAGGAACCTGAGTTCAATTCCCACTTTGGGTGACTGTCTGTGTGGAGTTTGCATGTTCTCCCTGTGTCTGTATGGCTTTGCTCTCGGTGCTCTTGTTTCCTCCCACAGTCCAAAGATGTGCAGGTTAGGTGGATTAGCCATGGGATTTTTTTTTCTATTCATTTTGTGGGATGTGGGCATCGCTGGCTGGCCAGCATTTCTAGTTGCCCCTTGAGAAGGTGGGGGTGAGCTACCTTCTTGAACTGCTGCGTTCCTCCTGCTGTGGGTTGACCCACAATGCCATTAGGGAGGCGATTCCAGGATGTTGACCCAGCGATAGTGAAGGAACGGCGATATATTTCCAAGGCAGGATAGTGAGTGACTTGGAGGGGAACTTGGAGGTGGTGGTGTTCCCATGTATCTGCTGCCCTTGTCCTTCTAAATGGAAGTGGTCGTGGGTTTGGAAGGTGCTGTCTGAGGATCTTTGGTGAATTTCTGTAGTGCATCTTGTAGATAGTACACACTGCTGCTACTGAGTGCCAGTGGTGGAGGGAGTGGATGTTTGTGGATGTAGTGCCAATCAAACGGGCTGCTTTGTCCTGGATGGTGTCCAGCTTCTTGAGTGTTGTTGGGGCTGCACCCATCCAGGCAAGTGGGGAGTATTCCATCACACGCCTGACTTGTGCCTTGTAGAAGGTGGACAGGCTTTGGGGAGTCAGGAGGTGAGTTACTCACTGCAGTATTCCTTGCTTCTGACCTGCTCTTGTAGCCACTGTGTTAATGTGGTGAGTCCAGTTGAGTTTCTGGTCAATGGTAACCCCCAGGATGTTGACAGTGGGGAATTCAGTGATGGTAACACCATTGAATGTCAAAGGGCAGTGATTAGATTGTTTCTTATTGGTGATGGTCACAGCCTGGCATTTGTGTGGCGCTAATGTCACTTGCCACTTGTCAGCCCAAGCCTGGTGATATGCAAGGTTACAGGGATAGGGTGCAGTGGGTCTGGCTGGGATGCTGTTTGGAGGGTCAGTGTGAACTTGGTGGGCTGAAAGGTCTGCTTCCACACTGTAAGGATTTGTGAAATCTTATCATTGATTTTGTTCTTCGAAAATGTATGTGAAATTCAAAGGATATTCAGTCCTTCTGCCTTACTGTCAGTGGGAATCCTTCACTGTGATTGGCTGCTTTCCCTGTGTGATGAAGGCACTGCTGCTGGATACCTGGAGGCTTCCCTTGACTTATTACAAGATGGGAACAGCCGTCAGGAAGGGGGAAAGCTTATCTCTTTGCATGCATCTTTCTTTAACTGACAATGTTGTGGAAATGATTTGGTCCCTTCTTTGCTCGCAGTTGATGTGTGGCGTTACTAGGGAGGGGCGATGGGTGGAGAGCTGCATTGATGAGGGAGGGAGGAAAATGAAAGGGCTGTTTTATGATACTGTGAATGGCTGTTCATTTGCTGCGATCGCTGGGGCTGTCTCAGAGGTCTGTGTGGCAGATTGTGATGTATGATTGCAATTTATGGAGAGTATGGGCAGGACACTCACTCCTTTGTCGGTGGTTGTAGCTTAACAAGCTGCTTTCAGCACGACCTGCCCTGGAGATGAGGTCTTTTGTATGCAGCGAGTGGAGATTGTGTCATACACGCTAATCAGTGTCCTGCCTCCTTCCAACAGACTCTGAGCAGCGTTCTCACCTCTGTCTGCTGCAATGGACTGACTGAAAAGAAACACAAATCATCCAGGTGGATCCCCTGCCCAACATCCTGACAGCCAGGAGAGAGTTTCCAGCCTCTGTAACTACATCCTGCCAACTGAATGATGCCTTCATTCCCGATTGATGGAGGTAAGTGGAAAGGTCATACCATTTATTTTAAAAGAGGCATTTTTATTAGATACCAAGCAACATCACAGCACTGAGCTCTTCACATACAGAGACCCTCCTTTTAGCTCATAGCTGGCCTATTTTAGCAAGGGTTTTTTTTTAAAACCATTCAGGGCCCTGTGCATTGATGTTCTCGGTAAGGTTGAGTGTCTGGCTGGCATCAGGTAGTGACTGTGCCAATTACAAGAAGACGCCCTGCTATCACCTCCTTAAAGGCAATTGGAGATGGACATTAAACAGTGTCCTGCCACAGTGCTTATTGGTCATGATTGAATTCCATTTCAAGGGGGTGGCTCAGTGGCTCAGTGGTTAGGACTGCTGCCTCACAGCACCAGGGACCTGGGTTCAATTCCACTCTCGGGTGACTGTCTGTGTGGAGTTTGCATGTTCTCCCTATGCCTTAAAGGGTTTCCTCCCATAGTCCAAAGATGTGCAGATTAGGTGGATTGGTCATGCTAAATTATCCATAATGTCCAGGGATGTGCAGGCTGGATAGATTAGCTAAGGGGAAATGCAGGGTTACTGGGATAGGGTAAGGGGTGAGTCTGGGTGGGATGCTCTTTAGAGGGTCTAGGTGAGCTAGATGGGCTGAATGGCTTGCTTACACATTGTAGGGATTCTGTGATACCATCATGTTTGATATTTCACTTCAACCGCTCCTGGTATCCTTCAGTTACCCAAAAGTTCACCAATCTGTCTATCGCAGTTGTAACTATCCTGAAGGACGGTGCACCTCTTGGGCAGGGAATTCTGAACATTCACAATAATTTCTCGATCTCAACATCAGGCCAAAAGAATTGTCCCCCCTTAAGATGAGACTGTGCTCTGGTGAATCTAAGTGGGGAGAAAAAAAGGACAGATTTCTGGCAGGACTGGTAACATCACATTTACTAGCAGATGTGGGATTATTTAGAAAAGCCATTCTCTGCTTCCTATCCCTCCTGTCTCTACCCTGTTCATGGTGGGCCAGAAGATAGCGTGGAGCGATACCACCACCTGCTGGCAGCAAACCATAGCAGCACAGGGTAGCGGGGCTGTGGCCAGTGTTTGGGGGTGGAGCTTGTATTGATAGGAAATTCCCATAATAACAGCTGATAGAGACACATTAACAGCTGAAAAGAATGCACGTAGTGATTAGGATGGGGAGAAGGCAAGCCTGGGTCAGGGACTGTGAACACATGCAAAATCTTTCCATATGTAGTGTTGTTATGCCAAAGTGCTTGGAGCAGGATTACAGCATTGTTTGGCACTGTAGGAGGCCATTCAGCCCATTGTGCCTGCACTAGTTCTAACCTCTCGTGCCAATCTCCTGCCTTTTCCCCATTTCCCCATTTCCCCATGCACCATTTCTGTCCCAATTACCATCCAATGTCTCTCTTGGATGCTTCAGTTTGAACCTGCCTCCGCCACATTTCCAGACAGTGCATTCCATAAGAAGGAGAAGGCCATTCAGCCCCTCAAGCCTGCTGTGCCATTCAATAAGTTCCTGACTGATTTCATTATATTTTCAATTCTGCATTCGCATCCATTGCTAATAAGATTTGATCCTCCTATCAGTCAGACCCATGAGATATGGGATCAGAATTAGGCTATTCAGCCCATTGAGTCTGTTCCATAATTTGATCATGGCTGATATGTTTCTCAATCCCAGTCTCCTGTCTTCTCTCTGTAACCCTGGATCGCCTCACTAATCAAGAACCTAACTATCTCTGTCTTAAATGCACTCAATGACTTGGTCTCCAAATCCCTCTGCAGCAATGAGTCCCACACATTCCCCATCCTCTGGCTAAAGAAAGGTCTCCTCATCTCAGTTCTAACGGGTCATTCTTTCAGTTTGGGATTGTGCCCTCGGATCCTTGTCTGTCCTACTAGTAGAAACATTTTCTCCACATCCACTCCACACTGCAACACCCTGGAATTACGCAGGAAAGAAGTAGAGCACCTATACAAAATCTTCGCTATGAACAGATATCCCCGCAACTTCATCGCAGGTGCCTACTAAATAGACAACGACAAGAGGACACAGTACATCCTTACACACTGACCACACTGCCCTACATCAGGAACATATCAGAACTGACAACAAGACCCTACAACCCCCACGAATCATGGTGGCCCACAAGCCCACAGCCACTCTATGACAAATACTCACAAGGATTAAAGACCCCATTCCCACAACATGCAGAACCAACATGGTTTACAAAATACCATGCAACAACTGCCACAAGCATTACATCAGATGACAGGAAGGAAACTAGCCATCAGAACACACGAACATCAGCTAGCAGCAAAAGGACACGACAAACTCTCCTTAATACTGGTACACTCAGACAGTGAAGGCCATCAGTTTAACTGGGACAAGGTAACCGTAGTAGCCCAAGCCAAACATAGACACACATGGGAATTCTTAGAGGCATGGTTCCCCACCCGTAATGCAATCAACAAAAACGCAGAATTGGACCCTGTATATAAACCCATACCAATTCAAACCGGAAATGACACTACTCACCATAACAGACCAGACAGTATAAATTCCAAGTGGAGTAGAATAACATCGCTTCATCGGAGGCTCCACTGATGATGTCACCAGGCATGGTGATGAAACGTCTGAACGAGAACAAGCCAGCTCGGTGAGCAAATCAACAACCTCCCCCACAACCCGAGCTACAGATCTTTGCCAAATCTTTTAACATCCATTCTATCCAGCCCTCTCAGTATTCCGTAAGTTTGAATCAAATCCCGCCTCGTCCTTCTAAACTTCATCAAGTACAGACCCAGAGTCCTCAAACGCTCCTCATATGATAAGCCCTTCATCCCTAGGATCATTCTTGCAAACCTCCTCAGGATCCCCTCTATGTACGCACATCCTTCCTCAGATACGGAGCCCAAAACTGCACACAATATTTCTAATGCGGTCTGACCAGAGCCTTATGCAGCATCAGTGGTACATCTCTGCTCTTGTATTCTCTTGACATGAATACCAACATTGCCTTTGCCTTTGTAACTACCAACTGAACCTGCATGTTAACCTTAAGAGAATCCTGATCTAGGACTCCCAAGTCCCTTTGTACTCCAGATTTTCAAAGCCTTTCCCCATTTAGAAAATATACCTCTATTATTACTACCAAAGTGCATAAGCCCACACTTTCTCACATTGTATTCAGTCTGTCACTTCTTTGCCCACTCTCCCAGCCTGTCCAAGTCATTCTGCTGCCTCCCAACTTCCTCAGTACTACCTGTCACTCCACTTACCTTTGTTTCATCTGCAAATTTAGTAGCAATGGCCTCAGTTCCTTCATCCAAATCGTTAATGTACAACATGAATAGTTGTGGTCCCAACATTGACCCTTACTGAACTCTACTAGTCACTGGCTGTTATCCTGACCAAGACCCCTTTATCCCTACTCCCTGCCTTCTGCCACTCAGCCAATCCTCTATCCACGCCAGTACCTTGGCCCTAACACTATGGCCTCTTATCTTATTTAGCAGCTCCTGTATGGCACCTTGTCAAAGGCCTTCTGGAAATCCAAATAGATCATGTCCACTGTCTGTTCTTTGTCTAGCTTGCTGATTACCCCCTCAAAGAATTCTAACAGATTTGTCAGGCATGACCTCCTCTTGATGAAGCCATGCTGACTCAGCCCTATTTTACCATGCTCTTCCAAGTACATTGCAATCTCATCCTTAAAAACAGATTTGAAAATCTTACCAATGACTGAGATCAGGCTAACAGGCCTATAGTTTCCTATCTTCTGCCTCCCTCCCTTCTTAAGCAGGGGTGTTATATTAACCATTTTCCAGTCCTCTGGGACCCTTTCTGACTCCCGTGATTCCTGAAAGATCACCACCAATGCTTCCGCTATCTCCTCAGCTGTTTCCTTCAGACTATCAATCCTATCCTGAATTATAGTTTCCAGGTTTTGAATCTTTGGCAATGCACAGTACAGGAGGAAGACAAGATGAATGGAGCTAAGGTTCAGAATCCATGCAGAACGCAAAGATTTGAAGCATTGACTATCTCTGTTTTGAGATGATGTGGAGGTGCCGGTGTTGGACTGGGGAGGACAAGGTCAAAAGACACATGACACCAGGTTATAGTCCACCAGGTTTATTTGAAATCACAAGCTTTCCGAGTGCTGCTCCTTCGTCAGGTAAAGTGCTCCGAAATTTGTGATTTCAAATAAACCTGTTGAATTATAACCTGGTACTGTGTGACCTCTGATTCTGTTTTGATAATCATTTCTGGACATGCAGTCCATAGATTAATTTCACTGAGTCTACAGTTTGCCTTAGTGATCCATGTTTATTGGATCTACAGGTTGGCATAGACTGGTCAATACCTACAGCATTGAATGAGGCTATTCAGCCCATCGTGCCTGTGCCTCTTTGCTGAGTCCCAAATCCCTACTTTTTATTTGTATGTTCCTTATCCTCACAGACCTGTTTAACTCACTCTTAAAATTATTGTTAATCAACTTTTACCCCAATTTCAGGGAGGAATTTCCAATTCTCGGCGACTCTCAGCAGTGTCTCGTCGTCACATTACACGAAGGACGTGATCGATCTAGAGAGGGTCCAGAGGCGATTAACAAGGATATTGCCAAGAATGGAGAGTTTTAGTGGTGAGGCAAGATAGTATAGGAGAGACAGTGGTATCATAGAAGTGTCACAAGACTGGAGGCTCAGGTTAATGCCCTGGACTCATGTGTTCGAATCCTATCATGGCAGATGGTAAAATTTGAATTCAGTAATAAAAACATCAGGACTGATTGTAATATTATCATTAAAAAACCTGTCTGGTTCACTAATGCCCCCCTTTAGGGAAGGAAATCTGCTGTCCTTACCTAATCTGGCCTACATGTGACTCCAGACCCACAGAAATGTGGTTGACTCTTTCCTGTCTTCTGGGAAACTAGGGATGGGCGATAAATGCCAGCCTGGCCAGTGCCATCCAGATCCCA